ACCGTAGACCTGAGAAGGTACATATGGGGCAGTCCCAATCATCTGAGAGCCAGAGTGGACGGTATTACCGCCTGTCTGACTCTCATGCAAGGAAGGTGCATTCCCTGCAGAAGTATTGTTAAAGCTGTCTGGAAAATTCGACGTAGAAGCCGACTCAGACAACTATTGACTTCTCTTCCAGTTGATAATCTTCCGGTTGATAATCTCCCGGGCATCAAGAGTAGAGTTTTTACTTCCCACCGACTACTGAGTCCGGCGGGTGTTGTTGGTATTCCTCTTAGGAAGAAATTTTTTTTTCCAATCAATGGTCCCGGCTGCCTTCTCCTTTGGATGAGGAGTGGGCTGCCGATTTCTGACTGACTTCCCCTTTTCCAAAGGAGTCTTCTTGGCCGACTGAACTTTACTCGGTCCAGCCCGACTCTTAGTGATCAGTTCTTTAATTTCACCCTTGAAACTTGTCATGAATCTCATCAGTTCGTCTCATGTGACGGGTGCTGATCCAGCTGCCGTATGGGTTTCCCCTTCCGGCTGTCCAGGGGCTCGATTTGTACCCGCCTGGGAGGCACCCCGCTCTAGAGTGTCTCTGAGTCGGATGTGCTTGGTTAAGAGAGAGCCATCGTCGGTTTTATAGGTTTCGACCTGAGGATCTTCATCCTCCTGGTCTGTAAAGACTTCTGGGTCATCGCCCAGACGGTTAGGGGGTGGTACATACTCTTGAACCATCTTCGAGGTACTCTCCCCACAGACGGCGCCAAATGTTTTGGGTGTTTTTGTCCCTCGGGAGAGTTACGTCACGAAGTCTGATCCGGCTGAGTTGTACCTGCAAAACAACGGAGACTCCGGGTGGTAGGAGCTCCGCCTTCGACGATCAAGTTAGTAACTTGAAAGGGAATAAAGAGTACGAAAATTTAGGTGGGGATCTGTTTGGATTCCAAGCTTAGGTGCTTCTATGATGTGAGAGAATGTAGGTGTAATAAATGATTGAATGTGTCCCCAAAATGGGGAAATATCTCCCTATTTATAGGGTCCTTGGAGAACGTGCCCCTATCTAGTCACTTGACCTAAATTTCAGTGGGTTGCGCCGTCAAACAGCGCTTCTTGGGATTTGGGCCCTTGAAGGCCTCCATTTTAGAGATGTATCTGAGGGCGCCAAGTGTCAAGAGGATATTAAGCCACATGGGCCGTCCTGAGCTCGACACGTGGCCTCCTCTCATTGGTCCACGTGTCTAGGGTATTTTTACCCTAAACAATGGCCAAAATACTAAACTGGACCCAAACCGGATTTTACCTACGACCTAATGATCATGTGGAGGGTCCAAAGGTCTAATCCTATTCCTAAAATAATTAGGATTAATTAGAAGCTTCTATAAGGTTTTAAAAGATCTTAATTATCCTTTTTTAAAAGATAAAATGAAAGAATTTGAGTTAAATAAAAACTTTCCTTTTATAAAAACTTTCCTATTTCTTAAATCCTAATTTTATTCGAATTTAAAGATGTTCAAAGATAGTCTGATATTATTTTTGTGCCTCATAATATTTATCCGAATCTTATATAGTTGGTTAGATCTTGAAATTATCTTTCCAATGATATATTATAATATTAAGTCCGAGCTATCACGAAAAAGATATGAATGGAATATGAAACTCTATCCAAAACTAACACCGTCCTACTATTTCGGCCATATCTTTTTATCTACAAAAGATTTTTATATGATTCTAATTGGGTTAGAAATTAGACTTCAAGAGCTTTCCAAAGAAATATTATATGTCTTATTTGAACTTCTGGATCAAAAGATATGATAAAAACAAAATCCGCAAAAACTGTTGTCCATCGAGTTTTATTTCGATTCAATTTCGGATTCTTTTCTTATTCTTCGACCCTCTTTTTTCTCTTTAAATAGAGGTTATATCTCCCCTTTTTCAAATAAACTCTAACCAAATCTCATCAAGAAATTCTTGATACTCTCTCTCTCTTTTTCTAAACTAACTTTTCACAAACAAAATTCCGCATTCACAAGATCTAGACACACCTAACCCAATTTGAAGTTGCCTTCGCCCTAGACGTGAAAGGTTTGATATTTTGAGGGTTTGTTCCTAAATCCCTATTTCAATTATTTAATTAAATTCTTTGATTTATTTATTTTCCTTGAAGTTATAACGTGTGTATTTTGTTATTAGAAAGAGATACGAGGCATCCAAGTAAGTGCTTTAATTGTTTAATTGATATTTTGATATAGAAATCATGTTTAGGTTCCTATTTTTATCCCTAGTATCATGTTAGGATGTTTTCCTTAGTATGATGTTTAGGGTAAAGAATATAGTGTCAATTATGATTTCTATGATGCTTCCTATTTCTTTCTTAATATCATGTTAATATCATATTAATATCATGTTAGTGTTAAAGCTTTGATTTTTATTGTTTAGTGACATGTTACGGTTTGTTATTAATCTTGTTATGATTACGGGTCATGACGTGCATCTCGCAGAAAACCGGAAAGTCTGGCTAGAAGCCTTTCTGGATGCACGTCACCAAGTACCTGAAAATATTTACCCAGCTGTTCGGCATCAACTGGAAAAGAGCAATGTTGTACTCGTCTAGGATTGTACAAATAAAGGGATGAAGGGGGAAGCGAAGTCCAACATCTAGAGCGGCACAGTAGGCGCTGAAGGATCTGCGGCGCGGCCGCTCGTCTTCCCATGCGGCCACCGAAAGAGATCTTTTGGGGGGCCACCAGCTCAAACCCTTCCCCTAGTTGGAGGAATGCCTTGTACTCCTCTAGACCCTCATTCAGGTAGCCTAAGGTCGTGCTACCCACCGTACAGGCGTACAGGTCCTTGAAAGTATCAATGTTGGCGACGACTTCCTCTTCTTCCGCCTCACCCTCAGCCTCGTTCTCTACTCCCTCTTCGCTAAGGTGAGAGAAACTCTAAATTTAGAGGACAGAACTCTGTCCAAGTCAGTAGCCTCGGCCGAGCTCCTTCTTCTGGAGCTCTGGCCACCCCCAGAGATTGCCGCGTCTTTAACTGCCATGGGACCCTTGCCCTTATCTTTTGCAGCGGCCGCACGATTTCCAGAAGAAGGGGCACTACGAGGTGGCAGGTCAGACGGTTCAGTAATAACAATGCCTGTCCTGGGTCTGTCTGACCTACTATGTTGGAGATGAATTGAGACGGACTAGCTATGTTCGCCCCAGAAGAGGAAGGAGGTCTTTTTTAAGATAGCAACTCGGCCGGGTCCAAGACCGAGTTGGCATGATGAGGGAACCTTAGCTCCGGGGTTTGCCCGTATGCACCCCTAGAGGAAGATATGCCTTGTGTTCTTTGGCATTCTTCAAACGATGCGGTCACTTCAAACACCGAACACCCAATACTACCAGTAGAGGCCGTGTTAGTGGTAGATTCGGTATACGTGTTCACATTGTTTGGGTCGTAAGGGACCCTAGGATGTACCAAACTGTCGTTTGGGTTTCTTGCTGCATCTTTATTGTACATTTGCATCGTACGGGCCATTTTCGATGCAGGGACAGAGAAGAATAGGTGGATGAGATTTGGTACTCAGTAGAAATGGACCCACTCCATGAAAGAGACAACTTGTCTCCGTCCACTATAGACTCCTCGGTCACAGGCGAACGGCCGACCTCATGAGGAGAAACGACGAAGCCGAGTGTAGAGCCAGTTTAAAAAAAAGGGGAAGTAAAAAGAAAAATGAAGAACAGTCGGCCTACCTCTGTACGTGTAGAAAACTCTGGAAGGTGGTCAAAAACCTCAAATTTGACCGGAAAACTCAATTGAACGGTGGAGCTCTTGAAGATTCAAGGGAAAAACACTTTCTCTCTCTAGAAGCACTGACTTCTCTCTAATATGCTTAAAGTTCCAAAGTGCCAAAATGAGGTCAAACCTCTTCTATTTATAGGAAAATTTATAGGGGCAAACTGGTAAATCCAGCTTTTCCCGCCTAAGAATTCAAACATTTACTTTTTGAAAAAGTCAACCTAGAATTCAAAAAGGTTAAAAAGGATCCCTTGTCATTTTGGACGAAAAAAAAGACGGACGGATAACGACACGTCCAAATAGACGGCCATGTCAGCAGAATAAAATCTGCCACCCTAAAAGGCCGGGCGTCCGAGGTCTCCCTTAAAAAGATAATGTGTTGGGTTCCGTCTGCCTAATTCTCAGACTCATCCGTCCATTAGAGGGATTACAGGCGGAAGAGATATGCCATTTAGCCCAAGGCAGTCATCTGTTAAATAGGCGAACAGATCCGTACGAATGTTCTACCATATGCCCTATTCCATCTTACTCGGACACAATAGGAAGAGTAGAAGATTAGAGGAGGCGGCCCGTAGCGTACGAGTCACCCCCTCTTGTCATCCAATCCCGTAGTGACACGTGACCCAATTAGAGGGCTACATGTGTCCCTATGGGAAGATGACGCACGTCAAGCTCTTAAAGAGCACCCGAAATAATAGAAAATGGAATTCTTACATCAGAAGACCCAAATCCCGAGAAAGCCGCAAAACGACGCTAACCCCTAGACAAGTGGCATTACTTTATTGCGCTGCCAATCAAATCACGTCATTCTAGGGCAATAACACAGTTTCCCACCCCTATAAATACCCCAATCATTTATGATGGGAGGGGTGGATTGTGACATAATATTAAATAGAGCACTAAATAGTTCCAGCTTCTCTCTACTTTCTGTCTCTAGCTTTCCTGTTTTCCGATTACTAACTTAACCGTCAGAGGCGAATATTCCAGCACCGGAATATTCGTGTTTTACAGGTGTCCGAGTCTTGCTGCCAGCCGAAGCGTAACTAGTGTCCCGAGGGATTCCAAAAAACCACGAAACAATTGATGTCGGGTGATTGTGGGGTTGTTGATGTCTGTGATTGTGGGGTTGTTGGTGATTGTCGAAAAAGGGGGAAGAAGAGGAAAGAAAGAGAATATGAAAGACAAGAGAAGGAGTAGGAGAGAGAGGAGAAGGAGCAGAAATGTAGAGAGAGAAGGAGAAGAGTAGGGGAGAGAAGGAGAATAGGAGAGAGAAGGTGAAGAGGAGGGGAGAAATACAAGTGGGTAAGGAATAAGGACAGCATTTTAGGTTTATAAAAAAATGGGTCACTTTTATACGAAAAGGATCACTTTTTGCAAAATATTCGATGTACAATAAAATTATTTTAAAGTGTGGCATGCAAAACGACTTCATTTAGTTATTATATAAATTTTTCCTTGCTAAAGTTAAAAAATCAATATAAACCATGCGCCTGGAAACACAAAAATTCAACCCCCTCTTCGAAATCGTTAACTCGAACATAAATAAATAAAGAAGAAAAACAAGGGGGAAAAAAAAAAGTAAATAGAAGTTGCTTCTTCATAGTCGAAATTTGAAATTAGAGCGACAAGAACAAATCAAAAATTCAAACTGGTTTCCCGGCATCGCAGCAAGGAACAATCCCCATCTTCCCACAAACTTCGTTAATCGAATTTCTTCCTCTTTTAATTTTAGGGTTTTTGATTTCACCTCCAATTTTACAATTCAATCAAGATTATTATTTATTTGGTTTTGAATTCATTCGATTAAGTTTGCAGTAATCAAGAATAATGAAGCGAAAACGTGGGCATAAGAAGGGGAAGAGCAAGAAACGAAAGTCGCAATCGCCTATTGTTCCGACAACCACTGAAGAATCCCCAAATAATGACATTGAAAGTGTAAATTCCGAGGAAAATAATTCTGGGTCTGAGGAGGAAGACAACAATAAGGTGCAAGAAGTGTCGAAACCGATATCAGAACCGGTTATGGTATCGGCACCAGCGATGCCGGTTAAGGCAGTGGAAACAATGCCTGTACTTCCGAAAGTGTTTCAAAGACCTACTCCAACTGCTGTTTATGGGCGTGTTAAATTGAAGCTGAAAACAACGCCTAAACCACCTCCACCCGTTGAGCCTCAGGTTGTTGGTTCATCTGTTGGTCAAGTTCAAGGTGACGGGGTAAAAAATAGTGAAGTTGGTAGTGTAGTGGAGAAGAAAGATGATAAAGAAGTTATCAGTGGCGAGAAGGTTGATGGGAGTAGTAAAAAATCTGGGGTTATTAAGATTGTATCTTCGAAAAGTTCGAGTCCCCCGGCCTTGGGTGGTGTTGAGAGTGGTAAGGTTGTGAATTTAAAAAGTTCGAGTCCTCTGGCCTCGGTTGAGAATGAGAGCGGTAAGGCTGTGGCGAAAAGTTCAAGTCCTCTAGCCTCAGCTGAGAATGAGAATGAGAGTGGTAAGATTGTGTCTTTGAAAAGTTCAAGTCTTCTGGCCTCGGCTGAGAATGAAAATGAGAGTGGTAAGGTTGTGTCTTTGAAAAGTTCAAGTCCTCTAGCCTCGGCTGAGAATGAGAGTGGTAAGCTTGTGTCTTTAAAAAGTTCAAGTCCTATGGCCTCGGCTGAGAATGAGAGTGGTAAGATTGTGTCTTTGAAAATCTCGAGTTCCCTGGCCTCAGGTTGTAATGAGAGTGATAAGATTGTGTCTCCGAGTTCCACAGCTGTAGATGGTAATGGTAATGAGAGTGGTAAGGCTGTGTTTATGAAAAATTCAAGCCCCCCAGTTTCAGTTAGTATTGAGAGTGGTAATGCTGTGTCTTTAAAAAGTTCAAGTATCCCGGCTTCTGGTGGTAAAGAGAGTGGTAAGATCGTGTTTTCGAAAAATTCAAGTCCTCCATCCTCTGGTGGTAAAGAGAGTGGTAAGATTGTTATTCGGAAAAGTTCAAGTCCCCCTACCTCAAGTGGTGGTAAGATTGTTATTAGGAAAAGTTCAAGTCCCCCTACCTCGGGTGGTGGTAAGATTATTGTTTCAAAAAGTTCAAGTGCTCCAGCCCTGGATGGTAAAGAGAGTGGTGTTAATGACTTGTCACAAAACGAGGAGAAGGTTGATGAATACAAAGCAAGGTTTCCTCAACAAGAAGCTAAATGTAACAAGGAAGAGTTGGAGGCTTCTTTAGAGGTATGAGATGGAGAGTTATTTTTATTATTTTGTAATAACATTCGATTTTTGAGATGTACTAGTAGAATGTAGAGTTTTGGGATGTTATTTACTTGTATTAATGTAATTTAACTGGTTGTTGATTTTATTAGGTGATCCAGAAGATTATGAAAATGGATGCTGCTGAACCCTTTAATGTACCTGTTGATCCTATTGGGTTAGGAATACCAGTAAGTATGATGTGATAACTTTATCAATACTGAGAACCTTGTTTCTATAATGCTTAAATTTCAAGGTTAATTGGATGGCATGATACTTAATACGACCAGGTTTGGTTTTGACTGGTGCACTCGAGAAATATACTTATTAGGTATCTTTTCTGTCTAATGAGACATTCTTGGCTTTAGTCGAGTTAGACAGAAACATTTTTAGGCTTATTTTCTTGCTGCATACATTTCTGATTTTGGTGGTGGTTATAGCGTTAATGATGGGTTAGTACAATTATATAATTTATACATCCCCTCTATCAATTTAGTTTCGTTGACTTAGGAGGCTTAGAAAATCATTATTGTGTGGCATTAGCTTGTAGTCTGTATTTTTAAAATTAGCTTTTGGACTAAGGCGTTCAAGAAGAAGAAGAAGAAGAGTGTTTAATTTGTTAGTTTGTTACTTATTGTTTACTCATTCAATAAGGGTGTTTTAGGCATACTGTGTTAAAGTGGTCAATCATCTTGGTCACTCAAATTCTAAAAAGGTTCTTAGTTAACAATATGTTGGGTAGAGTGAGCTTGCTTTAAGCGTATTGCAGTTAATGATTGTTTGATACCTTCATACCTTGTTCATCTGAAGAGTGTACTTTGCAACTGGTTATCTTATTCTATTCTTTTGTGATAGGATTACTTTGATGTCATTGATACTCCAATGGATTTTGGCACCATCTGCAGCAATCTTGAAAGTGGAAAAAAGTATATGGATTCTGAGGATGTCTATAAGGATGTACAGTACATATGGGATAATTGCAGCAAGTACAACAATAAGGGTGACTACATTGTTGATCTTATGAAGCGAGTCAAAAAGAACTTTATGAAGTATTGGATGGCAGCTGGGCTGTATACTGAACAAACACAGAAGATGAAAGGTAAGTAAATATATGTTCTCATTTATATGTGGATTTAACTAGAGGCAGGTAATAAGCTGTTAATAGATTGGAGGATGTTTCTTCGCTCATGCCTATACTTTTGTTTATACTACGTATAGAAAACAAAGGGTAACTCATTGGTCACTTGACTGTGGACTAGTTTGCAGGTATTTAAGTGATTATGGTTGCGAAATTTAAAATGTATATAGTATATTAGTATGCGTGTTAATTTTAAATTTTAATCTGTATAAGTAATCAATATAGCTCCTATTGTAGAGTTGTAGGATCTTTAGATTTGGGTCCAAATTTAATGATAGTGGATGTATGTTTTTTTGATATTGTGTAAGCTAGATTCGGTAGTTCTTAGTCATTTGACAATCTCTTTTGCTTATTTATACTTCTGTACAAGCTCTACATCTCCAGCCTCATCCTTGTTCATTCAAATCTCATCTTTCAACACCAACCCTTCCATTGTATTTTAATTTTTTTTTTTTTATTATGGCAATTTTGTAACAAGTTTTATGGCATATTATCTTAAAATGCTAACATTTGAATTTTAGGGTAACAAAGTACCATCTTAGTTTTTCTTATAAAGGTAGTAACTTATAAAATGCGCTAAGGTACAATGGTAAAATATTGGCTTTAGATGTTGAAGAAGATAGGGGATATGTTTGTACCATTGGTGGCTGGGTTAGGAAGTCATTCTTAACCATGATATGGGAATGCATCTGCCGTGAAATATAGAATATAGGCATATACTCATAGACTTTCTAGCACCTTTGCCCAGATGATTTTTTATTTTCCCCCTTTTCCAATTAATTTATTTAATCTTTCCTAAACTTTGCAAAGGTGATCTTATCTTGAACTTCACATATACTCCCTCCGTTTTTAAATACCTGCTCCATTTCTATTTTTTACACTATTCATTTGTTCTACTTTGACTAGTGTTTGTGATTTATATATAAGAAAAAATATAGTCTTGTGGGTACTTGTTGGAATCGTCTTAATGAATAAATTATTGATTTTTAGTTGTTAGAATTTATACTTATTGATAATTAAAGATACTATTGATAAAAGATTAGCATCGGCATATGTGCCCAAGAGAAATGGAGCAAGTATTTAAAAACGGAGGGAGTATATGCTAGCTTAATGAGTTTATTTATTTGTTTTTAATGGACAAAGGATTTGTGGTACCCATGAGTCAATCAAGCATATAAATGCCAATTTACACTCATAGATGTTATTTATTGAGGTATGGAAGGTAAAAATTCATTTGAATTCTAATATCAAGGTCGGTTATAAGGTGAAGAACAAGTAAAGTGTTTCCTTCACATTTAATGTGAGAAGGTCCAAAGGCTGAAATTTGATTTGTACCACTGTTAGAGATCTTCTATTTGAACAGATACATGTATATCAATTTTGTATATGCAAAATTGATATACATGTGTATAATGCACATTATGAATCTTGTAGATGAGTTGAGAGATCCTTCTTAATGATTAAAGTTAAATCGTATGAGTAAGGCAATGATTTTTAGATTAAATTTGAAGATTTGTGGTTCAGCATTCTATTCTGCCTAGTCCAATAATTTTTCTCTCATCAATTAATCTCACTCCTAAGGGTTCAATTACTATTTCATTTTAAAGAGATGTCATTTGCTAGACCTTTAGTTTTTATAAACTTAATTAATATTGCAACAACTATTTGTGGAAAAACGTTTGCAATATGGGTATTATTTGCTCTTGCTTGGGCTCCCCACAACTTTAAGTTATTTTGGTGATAGGAAAAACAGGAGAATTGTTGCTCGCCTTGTGGACCAGGCAAGTGTGCCCTGTGCAACTTATTTGTCTTTTGACATTAAACGTGATGGTCTTGGTGACTACTCAAAAAACTATTATACTTCATAACCAATGTAGCAAGGTGGAAAGTGGACATGGTTCTGAAATATACTAGTTTCTGAGAGTAGTTTTCATATCTTTGTATGATTTCTAAATAGGTGGAATTTGTAATTGGCTTAAGATTGTTGTCACTTTATATTTCGGTCCAGTCTCGATAAGTTCCATGTCCTTCACATTGTATTTGTGACGTGTTGATGTGGCTGAGATTTAATACCATGAGCACGAGTACTTACTGTCCCACATACTCGACATGTCCTCGTACCAAGGACGATACAAGTACTTAACACAACTCTTTCTTTATATAGTCCCTGTCAACTGTCCCATCCCCTCTTGTGTATAGATTATTTACAAAGCCAAAAGGGTAAAATTGTACATGGACGTGATTATAACAAGTATTTGACACAAGATTTTTAATTACTTCTTCCGTTCTTTTTTAGTTTACACTTTCTTTTATGACGTTTGGCAATGCACAAGTTCAACTATTAATGTCTCTAATTATCAACTAGCAAAACTTATACGTAGTAAAAAGTTGATTTATTTTTTTATTTTTTTTATTTTTTTGAGAAATATAAAAAGTTGATATTTTGGAAACACATATTGAGACGATTTTAACAAAATCCCACAACCCACTTGACTATTTCAGTTTAGGGTTTGTGGATAGTGTCAAAAGTCAAAATGTGTTAATTATAATAAGCAGAGGAAATATGGGAGAGATGAGAAGAACATTACTGAGGGTCAGACTAGGATGTTTCAGGGTAAGATTTGCTCTGTCAGAACCCTGTTGAGACACAAGAACCATTGCAAACCAAACATAAAAGTTTTATATGTATTGAAAAGATAGTGGAAGTTAGCCATGAGTTCCAAACTTCCAATGTCCAGTTACCATGAGTCGCCAGGTTGATTCAACATCATTGTATTAGTGACTAAGTAGATTAGATCAGTGTTGATAATAATTCATTAAGGGTATTATTGGCTTGGTCTCTACACTATGATAATCACTCTCTGTGGGCTAAAGCTGCAGGACCCTTTAATAGTTATTCAGCGGGAGAAATTCAAACAACCTGGGCTAATTTGTATTCTGTTATTGCTGTTATATGGGCTACTTTTGTATTCTGTTTTTTTCTTTTGTTTTGTTTTGTTTAATTTTTTTTTTTTTTTTTTTTTTTTTTTCTGTTGGTAATCCTTTTCTTGTTTCTGTTGATCATAACTTCATGTATAAAAAAAAATTTCGTGATAAAACCTAAAAAATTATCTTAGTTTCCTTGCAATTATTAAATTGGTGTCTGATATATGTAATAGAAGTTTATGAGGCCCTCTTTTCTTTGTTTTTAACCTTCTCTCTACTAGGGTGGCCTACGCGCGCGATGCGCGCAAAGGAGCTAGCTCTTGTAGAGAATTTATATTGGCATATATTTACCCTTTTGGTTTGAGTGGTAGACCTGCTAGTTTTAATACGTACTATTTGGTTTATGTGCCTATGTGATGACTTTGTAAAAGTATAAAAGCCACCAAAATCTGTTATGACAATTATTTTTTGAAACCCTCAAAAGTTTAATTGATTTGCATGATTCAATAATACCTAGCGTATTTTTCTTCAAATGATTTTTTTTTTTTTTGAGCTTTGATCATATGGAGTACGTAATATTATCTGAAATGTTCGTCTTAGCTAAAAACTCAATAATCTAAGTTTTTTTTTATTGTTCTACAACCATCTAATATCTAATATCTAAATCTATATCTAATATTAAATTAATAACCACTTAGTTATATTTTTCCCCGTAAAATCTCTCCATAATTAATACTTCGTACCATTTTTTTTCCCATCGATTTCCCCTGATTTTAGGATTTTTAAGTTCTTTACACCTCTTGATAATATTTGCTTAAATATCACTATTTCATATGAATCCTATTCAAAATCCATAATGTTATTTATGTGTCATCAAACAACGTACAATTCAAAAGCTAATAAACCTTAACAATAGTGTTGCAATTAAAGGACGACAAGACTGTAAAATAAGAAGAGCAACCACGAAGGAGTAAAAATAAATAGTCTCTTTGTAATAAACAATCTCTTCGTAACTACAATTTTTTATTTTTTTTTATTTTTTTTTTATGTTTTTGAATAATAATAATAACATATGAAGTATAATTTTAATATTTTAAAATAGGCATTACAATATTTTGTTAAAAAAAAATTGAATAAATTGATGATGTGTTTGATGAAAAAAAAAACATTAAATATATTAATGAGAGCAAACATATTAATGAGGGTAAAAAAGTAAATACACATTTTTCTACACATTTTTGTACATATTTTTGAGGGTATAGTTGGTAGCACACTATTCCTAAGAGTTATTTTCTACCTTTTATAAGGTAGGGATACATTTTCGTTGTGGTTGGTTAGAAATAAATCAATCTTTAGGTCAAGTGATTTTCAAATCTTTGTATGATTTGTAATTATTTCTTGCTTTTCTCTTTTTATACTCCTTTCTCCTTTTTTTTTTTTTTACCTAAATTTCATTTTTCTTTTTCTCTTTATTTGGTTATCAAAAACCAAAGAACGAATAATGCAAGTTTGATGCCTGATTTTAGTTGAAAAGAATCCCAATTTAAAATGTAATAATGTCAATTTTGTTTTATTTCGCATCCCTTCATACCTTCTCAATTTCAATCTTACTGTAAGCACGTTTTTCCTTTTTTTTTTTTTAAAATTCTTTGTTTACTTCTGCTTCCATTCTGCTTGCGATTACTTTCATGACTTTGCTTTAGAGGATTATTTTTTATATGCGTTTGTTAGTTAGCCACTCTCTCTCTTGGGTGTTTGTGTCTTATAACAGCATATGAATGATGAGTGTCATGGTCTCCTATTATTTAGGTGAAGAAGGCAGTCCCCTGGATGAACCAACAACTTCAGGTCATGGAAAGAAGCTTAAAAAAGGAAAAGGGTATGTTTCTAGGGTCTGGGATGGGGAATTTCTGAAGTTGCAGCTATCTTATATTTGCTTATAGTTATTAACTTATATGTATTTTCAGTGAAGTTAGCAATTAACCTATTCTATATTTTTTTTTTATTATTGTTTTTTTGAAGAAAACAATCAACATATTCTTAGTTTATGTATCATATCTAAAGTTACCAATACAGCTATGTTATTAAATTAACTGGTGATAAATTGACCTAAAAATGATAAGGTTACGTTATAATACTGGTGAATTATTTATACAGTTATTGCCTGGCGCAAAGAGTGTGTGGGTTTGGGCTGCTCCAAAACGCGGTTTTAGGCTACAACATGAGTCCATCCCGAAATACTCTTTTTATTCCAAAAATTCCAATATGATTTTGCAGATTTGAACAAGAGATATTGTACAAAGCTCGTCCTGGTCCTTTATCTCCTGAACATCAAACTTAATTATTACATATGCTTTCGTGTATACAGGGATTTTGTTTTTATTTTTATTTTTTTGGCTCGGTTTTAATGTTAGTTTTGATTTAGATGTTTTACTTGCTTTGAATCTAAAGTAGCCCCTTATCTTGTTGAAACCTACAGAGTTAAGCGTCACAAAGATGACTGTCTTTGTGCTATATGCATTATGAAGCGTCGTAGACGGGAGCGTGAGGCTTGTGAGGCACAACTGGCACGTGAAATGGGAGGTCAAGTTGCTTCACCTCAAATTAAAGTCCCCAAGACTGGGCTACACGAAGAATACAGGCAAGAGGTGGGTTACATATTTTTTTATTATATTATATAAGTAGAATACGGTCCTGTTTTGCATTAGGCTATTAACTGAATAAATTTAAAATCTAGACTGTTCATTTTAAAAAACTGGTCAAGCTTTCAACGATTGGGTTGAAAATAACCTTTTTCAAAAAAATAAATTCTTTATTATTTTTATTACCTGAGGATATATATATTCTATTTGGAAGGATGACATTTTCCAGGCCTTTTGGTATCTCATTTGTTTTTCCTATCTTTTTAGCTTTTCAGTAATTTCGTATTTTGCTAGGAAATTTTCACGCTCTTGTGAGATATTAAGTTTGAGTATATTCCTACTTACTAGGTAGGTAACTAATTGTTTTTCTTTAAGAGAGTAAGTTTTTGGGGCAATATTCCCAAAGGATAATTATTACGCTATTTTATGAGTGTAAAATCTGTTCTAGGTATAACATGTAGGAACAGATTTTAATTTGATATGTCGAGAATCAGTTGAAACTTGCATTATTTTGTTGATTTCGTGTTACCTTTTTTTTTTATTTTTTAAAATTATATTGTTATTTTTTTTAATGACAAAAAACTGAATTAATTATGATTAGAGTATCATAAAATTTATTGAATTTACTTAAGCGATCATTGCTATTTGTTGGAGACTTGATATTTGTAATTGATGCCATGTTTGTGAATTGTGGCACATATCCTTAGCTGCATATGGAGCCATCTTATTGTGATAGTAAGAAGCATAGAACATTTCATAAATTAATGTTCAGGCCACTATGCCAGACAGCATCTAATTCAAATGTTAAATATTGGCTTTGGAACCTGTGAATAGGGTTGATATTGCATGTAAACTGAATATCTAACAAAGCAAAGCATTTGACACATTGCTCTTTGCCATGATTACTTTAGGATATTTCACACGCCGAAAGTCCTGTTGAGACCTCATCTTATATGGAGACTTCCCATGATGGGGATGCAGATGCTGAAATGGAAGATGTGGAGATGAAGCCTGATGCAGTTGCATCTCAGTACAACAATGAGAAGTCGGAGATTGATAGAGCCTACTTACATGATAAATCTGATAGATCTGGAGATATTTCGGAGAAATCATTACATAGTGATAAAGGTGATGCTGAATTATATTCTCATGATGAAGTAAATGTTCAGGATGAATTCGGGAGTAGATTTAACAATATTGCCCGGCATCAACCATTGCTTCAGCAAGAAGGACAAAAAGCTGGATATCTGCAACATAGACAAGAGGTATTGGCTGTTATTATTTCAGCCCTGCATTCCTCATCTGCTAGTTGCTTATTTTATACTGGAAGTTGATCACAGTTATTGAATCATAAAATTCTACTAAGCTATCTACTATTTGCTGGTTTGTTTAACCTATATTATGATTGCAAGCCAATGTGTTGTTATAAACTGTCTAGTAGTAAAGATTGCAAAGTATTTGTAATGTTTACCAAGGTAAACAAATCATCTCAAGTCTCAACATTGCTCAAGATAAATGAGTTCATAATTTGATAGAAATATTGGGTTTCTTTTAAGGTTCCAGACAGCTATGTATTGATGGCCTTTCTGAACTTTCATCAGATGTTAAATGCACCTCTTTAGATGTATACTAAGCATGTGAATTTGTCTCTAGATGCTAAAAATTCTATTTCTAAAGTTGAGGGAACATTTGATTACTGTTATCTAAATTAACATCATTAATGGTATTGGTGCAGCTATTGGAAATGGAGAAAAAACGTCAGAAGCTAAGAATGCTGGAGACTTTTCGTGATCTTGAAAACCCTAAGCTCTTAGGGTTATGTGAAACACTCTTTCCGAACAATGTAAAAACTGTTTGGAATGGAGCCAACTCTCTGCTGCGATGTGAAAGAACATGCCACAGAAGAGACATTCATGAGGCTGTTGCGTCATTCATGAATCCTCCCTGCAAATCTGCCTCCTTTCTGAAGTAATTGTCTGGTGGATATACAAATTAAGCAATCATCTCCAGTATGAGATATTCAATCCAGCATTTCATCTGTATGACTACACAAGCACCTCGTATTTCATGCTCGCTGCAATGCCATAACATAGAAATAAAGGTTGAAGATACACGGGAGATTCTTGAATGTCAATTCTGCTGAGTAATTTTAACTAGGATTACTGATTTGTTTTTTCTTGGAGAGCTAGATTTGTCTAGATTGCATTAAATTCTGTCAATAATTAGTGATCAAGACAGAACAAATTGACACCATGATTTGTAAGTAACAAAATTGTATGCAATATATGGGCAGTCTCTCATTGTCCTGAACCTCTGTTCTCGAGAAGCCATTTATCAACTAAGCATAAAACAAAAGAAATCCGGTTTATGAAGCTAGCTTTAGACTATAGCATAACATTTTTCTAATAATTATCAAGGGAATTACTCAGGTTCTAGCAACTAGAGTCCTTGAGGCCTCCTCTAGTAATTGGCAGTTTTTGTTGGTAATTTTTGTGACTTTTTGGGTCTACCAACTAACTCTCAAGTATAAGGAATAAAAACACATTAACAGAGAGAAAGTCTTTAGTGAGAGAAAGTCTCAAATATTTTCTTTTCGCGTTTCGCTTCCTTTTCTGCAACTAGTTCTTTCTAAGTTCTTCTTGTCTCATCATCTAAACTCCAATACACTTTTCTATCCTTATATTATGGGTGAGGAAACAACTACTCCTCTTCTTCTTGATGAGGAGAATATTGACTGGGATTGCTGTGTCATAGGACGGTTCTGGGATGAGCGTGATTTCTCAATTTCTTTGGTTCAGCGTTTGGTTGTACGTTTTTGGCACCTTCGAGCTCTAGTTCGGGTCATTCCTTATGGAAAGGATTTTATTTTTTGCTGCGGAACTTCTGAGGACGCGGAGGAGCTGGATTCCAGGGGTTGGGTACACTTTAAAGGAAGTTTCATGGTTATTCAAAGGCTTAGAGGCTGGTCGGTTCCTTTACATATGAATTTACATCTTGTGGATATGTGGGTTCGTGTAGGTCTTCCTTTTCGATATTCAACTCCGGCAGTTGCAGCGACGATTCTCGCTCGAGTTGGTGAAATCACTATGGTTGACAACGAGAATGGTCAGTTTCCTACTCCATATCCTCGTGTCAAATTATTAGTTAATATGTCATTACCTTTGATTGTGGGTTGTTATTTTCCCATGACGGATAATCGTGTTACGTGGGTGCGTTTTAAATACGAAGGTATTATTAGATTCTGTAAAAAGTGTGGTTTTATCGGACACGGTCGTGAGACTTGTCCAAATTCTGATGAGTATGTTAAGTTTCATTTTGCAACTCGTTTTCGAAAGCTACACGAGTCTGAAGCACGGGTACTATTTGGACCTATTGATTCTTCTCTTTATACGGGTGCTATTCGTGGTATTTTTCCTTCAACCCAAGTCTGGACTACGGAACTCTGGTTCGAATCCCATGATAATGAGGGTCCATCTAAATTTCCAAAACAATCAGAAGTTCATGTAGAAGCTGATAGACATGCCCCATGTGTTTCTCATACTATAGATAATGATAACCACTGCCAAAAATTTGGAAGGTGGTCTAATGATGTGACATGTGGTCAGCATTCATGTTTTGCATTTTTCTGATGGCCCACCACGAGATCACCATCCAAATGCTAAGTCATGTTCTCTTAATCCGATGGGCCATAATCTTTTGGGCCGAAACTCAACCACTTGTGTTTTGCACTCTTGTATTAATTCTTCTCAGATCATTTCTCCGACCCATGTTCCATTTAATCAGTATGATTCAGCCCAAACCACTGGATTGGGCCGAAATGTCGCTCCTGTTACCAATAAGCATGTTCAGCGAGACTCGTCGTTACATGCGTTTGAATTCTCGCCATCGTATGAGGCTCATACTCCTGTTGTGACTCCGAAATTAACAAACAATCAACAAGATGATTTTCCAATTGTTTCACGGGTTCAAAAAGAAGAGGTTGTTCATATAGACTGCACACCGCCTCAATCACCATAAACTCTTGATATTCTGATGGATGAATCTCAAAATCGAGATGTTAAGTCACCTATTGCCACCATGAGACCAAGGGGTCGGAGCAGGTCCACTTAATATATTCACAAGGGTCGGGAAAAATTGCAGAAGTGGGTTCCCAACAAATGCCCTGCGAAGCGTTCGGGTGGTGTGCTGGAACCATCATCACCCCCTATCTCGGTGTTGCAACGCGACTCTGGTTGTTTTCCCTGTTTGTTACCTTGCAAGAAGCGCAAGGGCAGTTTAGATTCGGTTTCTACATCTTCTTCTTCATCGGGTTCGGTGACCTCCCGTAATGGGTCACCCAAATCGAGATGAAACCTGGTGCTTGGAACTGTAGGGGTCTTGGACCAGCGGACTCCCCTAAAGTTCCGTATCTAAGCTCTTTAGTCCGCTCTCATCACTTGGATGTGGTGTTTTTGATGGAAACCATGGTTTCTATGAATAATGTTATGCATAGTTTAGCCTCTATTCCTTTTTTGGGTTGTTGTGGTATAGATGCTGTAGGTTTAAGTGGTGGTTTGTTCATCTTTTGGTTTGCTCCTTTTTCTGTAGTTCCGTTGTTTAAATCTCCAAACTTTGTAGTTTGTAAAATAGAGGCGGGTGATGTGATAAAATTTGTGATCTTTGTGTACGGAGCGCCTCATGTAGTGGATAGATCAGAAGTGTGGTCATTTATAACTAGATTTGTCCAAACTTACCCGAACATTTTGTTGATTGGTGATTTTAATCAAGTAGAGTATCTATCTGATAAACTAGGAGGCTCTTCAATTATTCTAGGACGATTGAATTTTATTCAATGGCGGTTGGATTTGGGGTTAGTGGATGTTCCTTTTTCTGGACCTTCTTACACTTGGACAAATAATAGAATAGAGGTGGACCCGACTTTTGAAAGATTGGATAGGGCATATGCATCTCAAGATTGGTTTATTGACTATCTGGACTCCATTGTTCTTCATCAGCCAATTTTATTTTCGGATCATGTGGCTATTATCTTTTCGGACTCGATACCTCGGGATACTGTTCGGAGGCCTTACATAACTGAAAATTGGTGCTTATCGGCTCAGGATATTTCCAGGATTGTTAAGGACGGATGTCATTTAGAGTTCACAGGCTCTCCATGTTTTACTTTATCTCGTAGGCTTGCTGTTATTCGCGGGCGTCTTAAAGACTGGTGCCTTAGTCACAGGAAATCTTGGGGTATTAATTGGAAGGCATTATGCTCGAAGTTATCTTCTTGTTCTACTCAGTTACAAAATCCAGTGGCGCGAGTTCTTTTTCTTAATACTAGGGAGGAGAAGATTGCCGAAGCAACTGCTTCTTTTCTCTACTGGAAACAGCGTGCTAAAATTAAATGGGACGCCGGAGGGGAGTCACACTCCAAATTATTGTTTTCGGTTGTCCAAACTCATCGTCGTTGTAATCTGATTGTTAGTTTGAAGAATGATGCAGGTGTTTGGGTTTCTGATTCTCTTGGGCTCCGTTCTTTGATCCAGGCTTTTTACTCAGATTTGTATTCTCCTGTTTCTCCTTCCAGTAGTGACTCTCCTTTTTCTTTGGATCACCTTGGCCTCCCGATGTTGTCTCTGTCTCAAAAGGACATGATAATGGCCCCATTCTCGGCTTCAGAGATTAAAGTTGCAATGTTTCATATTGCTAACGACAAAACTCCTGGGCCTGATGGCTTTACCTCGACTTTTTTCAAGACTCATTGGGAGGATACTGGCCATTTTTTTATCTCGGCGGTTCAGTACTTTTTTGCTCATGGTTATATGCTGAAGGACTGGAATAGAACCTTCTTAGTCCTGCTGCCAAAGGTTTCTCAACCGGAATTGGTGTCTCAGTTTCGACCGATTGGGTTGTGTAATGTCCTGTATAAATGCATTGCGAAGTGCATTACTGGTCGTCTGCGACGGGTTTTCCCCTCTCTTATTTCAGGGTTCCAGAATGCCTTTGTGCCTGGTCGCCTAATTTCTGATAATGCTCTAGTAGCTCATGAGCTACTGTCCTTTATGAATGCTTCCAAAGCACGAAAACGGTTTTATGCGGCTCTAAAATTGGATATGAATAAAGCTTATGATAGAGTTCGCTAGGATTTTTAAGTCAAGTTTTACGGGCTTTTGGTTTTCCGCCTTATTGGGTTCACATTATTGAACAATGTGTTACAACTGTGTCGTACCAGGTTCTTGTGAATGGGAGTCTTACGCCCTCCTTTCGACCACAATGTGGTCTTAGACAGGGTGATCCCTTGTCGCCGTATCTTTTTGTGTTGTGGATGGAGGTATTGTCGGCCTCTCTTAGGCGGGCGGAAGAACAAGCTTTGTTTTCTGGTATTTGTGTTTCTAGGGGCGGACCTTCGATTTCTCATCTTTTCTTTGCAGATGATTCGCTGTTATTTTTCCAGGTTTCGCCCCAGGCGTGTGACAATGTCATGGCCATTCTTTCGGCCTTTTGCTCTGCTTCAGGTCAGATGCTCAATCTTCAGAAGTCCTTTGTCAAGTTCAGCCCGAATACGCCTGACGACTACCGTGATTTTTTGGCTCGCAGTCTTCGTCTACAATCAAAAGCTTCTTTGGGTACCTATCTGGGCCTTCCTGTTGACCTTGGTAGGAGTAAAGTTTTGGAATTCAGGTTTTTAATTGACAAGGTTGTTAGCCGGTTGTCTGCCTTTGCTTCTCTTCGTTTGTCGGCTGCAGCAAAATTGATTATCATAAATTCGGTGTTGGTCGCATCGTTTAATCATATCATGTCAATTTTACAGATATCGTCTTCTATAGCTTCTCAACTTGACAATATGCTTGCCAGCTTCTGGTGGAGATCGTCTGGTTCTCGGAAGGGTTTAGCGTTGCGCTTAGCTTCTCTACTTCACTTACCCAAAGGTTTGGGGGGTTTGGGTTTGCGCAACATTTCTTGCTTTAATTCAGCCCTCCTTGCTTGTATAGGGTGGAGGATGTTTCGAAATCCTCAACTTTTGGTTTCTAAGTTCATGTTTTCGAAGTACCCCTCTCTACCTGTCACCCCGGAAGCTCGTATTTCTCGACCCTCTTGGGGTTGTTGTGGGTTACAGATGGCTCTTTCGGCTGTTTCTTCTAGCGTACGTTGGAAAGTGGGTAGAGGTAATAGGGTTCGCATTACAGCCGACGACTGGGCTCCTGGGGGCCCAGTGTTATTCAAGGATGGTTTATCTCAGTCGGATCTTCCGACTCATGTGTCTGATATAATTGATCCGCGTTCTAACGCGTGGGACTCCTTGAGAGTCCATCGATTTTTTGATGGCCCAACGGCCGTTAGGATCCTTGTTCTAGATTGTCCGCAGGAACTTATGGATGATTTTATGTACTGGAAATTCTCTAAGGATGGCTCCTTTTCTACAAAGTCAGCCTATGCTCTCTTATTGCAGCAGACTATCAGGCGTCCTCCTTTGGAGTCTTTACCTGCTCCCTGGTGGAGGAAATTTTGGGCACTTCCCCTTCTTCCAAAATGAATGATCTTTGGCTGGAAAATAATTCAGGGTGGTATTCCGGTAGCCTCCATTCTAGCTATTCGTGGCATTTCTGTGGATTTGGTTTGCTGCTTCAGCCGGAGAAAGCAGGAGACAGTCGACCATTTGTTTCGAGACTGTGATTTTGTTGCTCCCTTGTGGGTTCGCAGCTCGTTTCATTTCAACAGCCAAGGTCTTCTTCATCGACCCTTCCTCCAATGGTTTTCTGTTATGGTCTCGTTATTAGCAGCTGCTAAGGACTGGGAGAACCTGGTGCAGTTTTTCTCCCTTCTTTGGGCTATTTGGTTGTCCCGTAATAATGTACGTTTCCGGCAACAGATTGTCTCTCCCGATGATGTTTTACTTATTGCTTCTCAGTGGAAGGTGCGGGGGATGCAAGCTCAGGATTCTCACCTTTCCTCCTCTAATTTGGGTCCTAGTCCTAGGCCGGCTAGTTTGGGGTTTGCTGCCACGCTTGCTGGGGACCCTACATCGGGGTTTGATATCTGTTTGATCAGTGATGGGTCTTGGTCTTCCTCCGACAACTCGGCAGGTGCTGGTTGGGTCTTTCGTGATTGTGACTCTCCTTTAATCCGTGGGGGAGGGGCTCGTGCCTCTCTCTCTTCTTCAGCCTTACAGTCTAAGTTACAAGCTTGTTTCTGGGGGTTACGCAGTGCCTTTTCTCGTGGTTTTTGTAGGATTCTTATTTACTCGGACTGTGAACCTCTGTGTCTGATGTTAACCCATCAATAGCGGGACGAGGTTTCTTTATACTGGTTAATTCGGGATATCCGGGTTCTTCTGTCTACTACTACGGCTTGTAAAATTCTTAAGATTCCTCAAAATGGGTTTCTCCTGCACACTGGTTGGCTGGAAAGGCTCGTACTTTGGAGTGTCTTTTTTGGTCTTTTTAATTTTTTGCTTGTGCTTTTATTTCTTTGCTCTCACTGTCTAAAAAAAAAAAAACAATACACAATTTAAAACAAGTGCAAACTTCTTCTTTCTCCTTTTTTTGTTGTTGTTGTTGTTGTTGTTGTTGTTGTTGTTGTGTGTGTGTGTGTGGGTGTGTTTTGACAATGGTCCAAAAAGGAGGCTAGTTACCATCTGACTTGACACTACTTGTAGAACAAGGAGAGGATTAGTTCTCTTAGCTATATTAACACAAGACCTAAACTGGGGATTGGGGAGACAACATTGATGGTCTGCTTGACAATACAAAACAGGAAAATAACAAATATAATTACGGACATGAGTCATAAGATGCTCCGAACTTGATCCTTTACGCTTCTTTGACCTGCAAAAATGGAAATTGGGATATGTTTTACCTTTCTTTTTCTTCACCCTGGCTTGTGCGACCTTCCTTGCTTTCTTGTCGTGACAAAGAACATGAATGAGGATGGTGGAGGGAAAGATAGTGTTTTTGCCGGGTTTGTTTTGGGGGTTTTTGTCCCTTGGGAGAGTTACGTCACAAAGATTGGTCCGGCTGAGTTGTACCTGCAAAACAACGGAGATTTCGGGTGGTTAGAGCTCCGCCTCCGAAGATCAAGTTAGTAACTTGAATGAGAATAAAGAATGCGGAAATTTAGGTGGGGATCTGCTGGGATTCCAAGCTCAGGTGTTTCTCTGTTGAGAGAGAATATAGGTGTAATAAATGATTGAATGTGGCCCCAAAATGGGGAAATATCTCCCTATTTATAGGGACATTGGAGAATGTGCCCCTATCTAGGTCACTTGACCTAGATTGTGGTGGGCTGCGCCGAATTACGACGTTCTCTTGGGATTTGGGCCTTTGAAGGCCGCCATTTCAGAACCTATCTGAAGGAGCCACGTGTCAAATGGCTAGAGGGCCACTTGAGTCAGTCTGATCTTGTCACGTGGCCTTCTCTAATTGGGACACCTGTCTAGGGTAATTTTTACCCTAAACATTTTCCCCTCACATGGGTCACGTGGGGAATGTGACACGTGTCCACCTATCAAAGTGAACAGTAACAACGGATAGTAAAATTCAAATTTCAAACGGGGATGCCCCCGTTTTCACCTTCTATAAATAGAAGTTTACCCCCCTTTTTCTCTCACTTCATTTTCATTTGAATTTCTAGAGAGAGAAAGAGAGTTTTTTAGAGAGAGATTCTCTACTTCCGTCCGCGTCAAAGTTTTTTGGATTTCCGCGTGCTGACGTTGCAACACCCGGCTCACCGTCTGCAGCTGTTTTCAGAATTTTCAGAGCTAAAGTAAGGTAACTGCCTGTACCATCTTTAGCTTTTCTCTTTTTCAACTTGTATACATTTCCGCCTGTATACATAGTTTAGAAATAAAAATGAGTTCTCAATCCACACACTCGGCACTGCCTAGGACACTCAGCCGGTCCCCCGAAACGGCTGAGTCTAGAATAGGGGTGCCTTTTTTGGATTGTCAGAATCGATGTGCTCATCTCTGGATTCCTCCTTCTCTGTGTCTGTGCAGGACACAATGGCCAGAGTCAAACAGATGGCCAGAAAGTCTAGGAGCCGGCGCACTATGGCAGTGCCAGCCAATGGGATTGTTCCGGATGGGGAACAGGAGGATTTGGAGGAGAGCGGTTCTGATGAAGAGGCTCCCTCTACTCCCGGGAGCTCAGGCATACGGGAGGAAGGCGGTGAGGAAGCCGCCTCCTCTAATGGATCCGGCGATGACGAGGCCGGTGAAAGGTCAAGGGCCAAAACTTCTGGCTTCGACAAGGATAACTTTGCGGCTGACTATCCGCAGCCGCCTAAAGTCGATGACAACCCCAACCCTAAAAGGATTAGAATGCTGCCGGGTGACATTGCCCTGTTAAAGAGCGGTTTTAGGGCTTTCAAAGAGAAGCACCCCTTTTGAAAGGGGTGGGATATTATCGTCCCGCCTGCTGACGTAGTAATGGCATGGGACGATGACATTGATAATGCAGACCACTACTTTGTCTGCTACGAGGTGGTCATAGAAGCCGGCCTTCGGTTCCCCCTCCATACCGAGATTAGGAAAATCCTAAAGGGGTATGATATGGGAGTTTGGCAGCTCACCCCCAATTCGTGGGTGAACATTTTGAGTTACATCGCCGCCTGCGAGCTCCAGAACATAGCTCCCAGCTTCTCCGCCTTCGCTCATATGCATTACTTGAGCAAGGCACCAGGCGGTCATGGAGCATGGTGCACTCTTTCCACCTTGCCCCAATATTTTATGAGTTTGAACAAGGTTTCCAAGTGGTCGGGTGGAAAGATAAGTTTTATTTGATTTCTTCTCCAACTCTGAGACACAACCGGACACTCCGCCGGTACAACACGGAACCGGTTCTTCTGGGCAGGAAATGCCCGCTCCCGGAGCTATCTACTAAGGCTTGGGAGCAAATAATGGAGCCGGGTTTCTTTGAAACCACTACTGAGCCCATGGGGGAGAAGACTCATATTATAGTTCCAAAGAACTGGATCCACCACCTGGACTACTTCAAGGACGAATGCTTCTTGTCCGCCTGTGGGTTAAGTCCCATGTTTCCCAAGGGTAGATCCACTTGCATCCGGAATGTTTGTGATTTTATTTTTACATTACAAACTTTCCATAATTTCTTCTAACTTTTACTTTATTCATGCAGCCAACGCCTTGAAGATGGTTGACCTGGCCAAAACTCCGGCTAAGTCAGCAGCGCTACTGCGTAAGGAGGCTGCTATTGCCAAGAAAGCAGCCGTTGAAGCCAAAGAGTCCAAGAAAGGCGGGGGAAGACCGCCTGACTTAGTATTAATATTTTATAATTTTTTTTACAAAGGCAGTTTACCGGTTTGGTATACTTAACTTTTTCAATTTGCAGGACTCTGCAAAACGTGTGCCACGATCCTTCTCCAAGCTTTTCAAAAGGCAAGGAGAAGATCTTGAAAAGGCTCCGGCAGCTAAGGCCGCTAGAAAGGACCCTCCCCGGTCAAACTCTTCTGCCAAAACCGATCGACCCACGACCGGTGGCAAATCGCCTGCTGCAATGAAGATTCTGAGCGAAGGCTCAGAGCGTTCGCAGCAGAAAGCGCCGGATGCCTCCACGACATCGAAGGGTGGCCCGCCACGTAATGTTGCATCCGGTGCGGCAACAACAGGGGAGGAGGAGGTTCATAGGCCCCATCCGGAAACTCAAGGTAAGGGAAAGATTGAAATACCTTGGCCACTTGACTTTGTGAGAGTCAAGACTAAGGTAGACCCCTCTGGGGGTTCAGTCAGCAGCCGGCAACAGATGAATGCCAACTATGCTGCTTCTTTCTCATAGAGTACTTCTACTATTGGTGCAGATCTTACATCCGACGAGCCGGATCCTGCTGGTTTTGCAAAACGGATGGTGAGGACCCTCACCCGGTCAAAGAAGAATTCAATACCTGATCTTCAGGTAGTGGACTTCGACCGGATAATGGGCAAGATGGCTGAGGTAAAGAATCCCCACCTTAACCCTGATATCTTTTCTTTATTTTAACTAAGTATGTCATAATCCGGCTGTTCTTTTCTCAGGTAATGCTGAGAGTGGACGGACTCCGAGGCCCCTTCAGGCGGAAACAGGAAGAGGTAAATGACGCCAAACAGAGGGCCCTTGAAAACCTCAACTCTGCTGAATATGCTAATTATATGTGTGATTTAGAGATTAAAGCAGTAGAGTTGAAACAGGAGGAGCTGATCCGGAGCTTGACGGCTGCAAATGATGTAGCCACCAGCCGGGCTAATGACCTTGAGCAAAAACTGAAGGATGCTCAATCTGAACTCAAGGCATTAGAAGATGCTGACAAAGAAAACACCAAACTCCGGGCAGATGTCTGCCGACTGGGGGTCGAGATCGTCAATCTGCGGAACAAGCAATCGGACGAGATCGCTCAGGAGCAAAAACGACTGATGGAGGAAAATGAGCGGGACAATGCAACCCGCCTGAAGATCACTTAGGTATGATTACGCCACTGAGGTGTATGATGCCTAAGTGCTGGGTGAGGCTCCTCCGCCTCGCTTCCAAGATTGGGATGCCGAGCAGGGATATGAAGTCTCGGACACCGAGGAGCCGGCCGAGGAAGAACAAAATGAAGGCCCAACTGGCCAAGACCAGCCGGAGCAGCAGCCTCCCCCTCAGCCTTGAGTCCGCCTCCCCAATTTCAGAGGCAGTATGCCAAGTTTCCTTTTTTCTCGGCTTGTAAGCCGAGTATGTTGTATTTTTACCAACCGTAGAATTGGTTAACAATCATTTTCTTTTGCTTCTTCTCCGGGTTTTATTCCAGCTAACAATTATTCTGGCCTTTGTGCCATTTTTAATATGAAGTATTCCGACTCAGTCGGTTATTTATATATATTTGTGTTTGAATTTTTCAAGTTGAATTTTGCGTATATACTGCAGTTCTTTAATACTTTTCCTAACTTAAAAAAGCATGCGACAATTTGCAATCCGGGTTCTCTTGCCCCTAGACGGCTGTGTGGTTGGTTTCATTTCAAATTGATTGATTGAATTAAAAACACTTGATACTTTGAGAAGTATGAGGTGTTTTAAGGCCAATCAATCACAATGGTGATTGCCTCAAACCAAGTGCACAACCGGCCATTAGACGGGTGCTTCGAGTCTCTTACCCAGACGATAATATTCCGTCTAGGATTATTACATAGCCATTACACAAAATCTTTTGCCCCAGTTGGGAAAGAGAGTGCAACTTTGGAATAAGTAATCTAAGTGGAAACTTCTGCCGACAACCGATTGATGCCTCAGGGCATCCGGTGTTCGGAAACTTAATCGT